ATGGAGTGGTCACTATTGTGAAGCACCATCATTATGATTACAATATTGAAATATGTATAATTTACTGTACACAGTGTTGAGTGTATGCATCAATTGCGGGACTTGCACATAGTTATATCGCAATTATTTGACTCTTTCTGAGTTTCGTTCAAATGGCGCCCTGTAGACCTGCTTCATCCTGAGATGATATCTGCGCAAGACACGATCCAGTGTTGATAGGCTGACCCTATCAATGTTTTGAAACGTGTCGTTGTTTTCTATAATTTTTCTTTGTATTTGCAGTAATATTATGGCATTGTTTTCTAGGACCTTGTTGAGGATTTCAGTTTCCTGTTCAGGAGACTGAAGACGTTCCCGACCACCTCGTTTCAGTAATCTTTCAGTTCTGCCAAACAAATAGTAAAATACTGTGAATACAAAGTAGGTGTACATTTCCTAAATACTGGAAACATACTTTACAGCATTTTACTGTCCAACAAAACAGTCCACAGGCAATACTTCTACTATACTCATTGAATACTGATTGCATTGATATGCAGTAGGTCCGGATGATGGATGCTACAGTGTACCTGCTCAAATTTGGCTGTACTCTTTGCCCAGCCTCCCTCATTGTAAGACCATGGTTGACCACATGATCAACCAAAGTGGCTCGGATCTCATCAGAGATTACGGTCCTTGGTCTTCCTCATCCTCTTCCTCGTCCTCCTCCTCTTACTCTCACTCCTCTGGCTCTGCCTCTGTTTCCAATGGTGGGATCCATTGATCCAAAACAGAAGAGCTCACCTGTTGCCCTCTCATGCTAAAGCTCTGATTGCTGATTGTTAAACTGTGTGACGGGTATTTGCCCTTGTGGTGAGTCAGTGTGCATATTTGAATAGCTGTGTGTTCCTTGTGAAAACAAGATATTTTCTGCATGAAAATTGTGCCAACAGCAGAGATTTGTGTGTAATGTTTTGAAAAAAAGTGTGTTTTAGATTTGCAATTTGAGTGCAAAGCAGGAATTGTGCTTGTAGTTTAGCAGAATTGGTTACATGTTGTGGTCATTGTGTCTCAAGTACCAGAAAATGTGTGTAAACCACTGAGAAAAACTGTAATAAGGCTGTTTGATGTACCATGGTCCATTTTGCAAAAGAAACACATCTTTGTTATGGCTCACCCAATTCTAGTGCAGAATTCTTGCTCACAACTCTGAAACTCTGGGAGTTTGTTGTTAGTTCAGACTACAAGAAGGTTTCAAGGCCTCTTGGAAACTGGCGGGTAAATTAAAGGGGCATTATGGAAGTTTGACAGCCAAAACATGTATAGAAATAATAAATGTCTTCTTCATACATTCTCCTGCAATGCCCTGGTCCTGTAGAATGAGCCCTGGCATGTTTACTGTGATTGCCTGTTTTTCTGTAAAATCACAGAAAAAGAGAGATGCTCGGGTCGAGCAGGCTGCTTCATGCGCGTTCACGCTCAGGCATCGCCCGTAGCATTTGCTATCCGTGGCTTTAGCAGCAGAGAGAGAGGCAGTGCCACTTTGTCGCTGTTCCTAACGCCTAGTGACAAAGCTAGCTACATTTCTGAGGACCCTTAGCTACTTTCTGTAGAACTTTCTTCTAGATATTTCCTGCAAATTAGCAACAAAATAGCCATTTTCACTCCGAACCGTTCTTTGAACGTTGTTTCAGCTGTCATCAACGATATAAAAGTTACAGATACAATATTCGTCATTGGCGCTCTAGCTCATCTGGTAAGACGTCGGACTCTCATGCAGAAGACCCGGATTTGAATGTGGATGTGATCTTAGTTCGTTTAGAGTTTCTTTTTTACATTAATGTTTTTTTTTTACAGTAAGATTCCAAAATATTTATTTGAGACTCGCCGAACGGCATTGAATTCACAGATAATAAAGATGTGGGTTCAACTTTCATTTTGGAACAATTTTTCAAGCAAGGGAAGGGAATGTTCTGAGCATGCAGGAGGACTGACCCATCTTAAACCTTTGTCGGCTGTGCTGAAGAGAAAGGTACAGAACCAAATTATTTAATTAATTAGCTGCACATTCTCCTGTCCTCTGTCCTCCGGGCCACACACACACACACACACACACACACACACACACACACACACACACACACACACACACGGGACTGTCCCAGCTGTTATTTTCGTTAAGGAGTGTGCACGTACAGCATGCACGCGCGCCTCGTGCACGAGCCTACTATTGAAGCTGCCGTTACGCTTTTGGCCTGAGGGGGCAATCACGAGCATAAAAATTCAAAACTCTGTAAACTCTCTGCAGAGTAGAAATTATTACTGCATGTTTTCAGAATTTAACACTGACTTTCAACTCTGCGGTTTGAGCTTGTTTACGCTTCAGATAGTTGTAAATACTCTATCTGGGTTAAAACAAGTGTACACTGAGACCCATTTTCCACTGAGGTAGCAGAACATGCAACAGTTCTCCTTGATGACCACTAGAGGGAGACAAACACCACGAGTGATTAAACTGGCGATGAGAACCATCCCCATCTCTGTCTGCGCTTCTGCTTTGGTTTTCCCATGGGGACTTCGAACCTTGTAGGTGATATGCGTCTCTAACGTGACAGAACACCAGATCTGGGAAAACCTGGGTGTGAAGGAGTCAGGCTACAGCTAGGGCTAGACTGGACATGATAATGGAAGTCAGCAGCGTGTTTATGCTGCAGTATAAACTAGAGTGGCCTTGTTGTTAATCACAGATGGTCCATTGTTCCTTGCAAGTGAGGCATGAAGTTACTCACAGAAAGCACGGCTTTGCAGTCACAAAAAGGAAAAACTCATACGTGTGGTGAATGCAGAAATAAACAGCTAAACAAACAAATTCATTAATCTAATCTGCAAAATAAATAATCAATTAAAAATTACACACTGGACTTGGAAGAATTTTAGATGCGTCCGTCTCGCGTATCCTGAAGGAGAGCCGACATGCGTCAACAACAGATGAGTAACAACTCAGCTCATCTAACAGTAATGCATTTAAAAACGTCACCTGAAATCACCAGGCAGAAGAAAACAAGTGTAAATAAAGTCCAAATTCTCTTGCAAGCAGTAACGTATGTTCAAGAAGAATAAAATTACAATAAAAGATGACAAAATGCCATTGAGTTGATTTGTTCTAGATAATTGTATCATCAGACTGAAGCAAATGTTCTCCTCTCTGAAACCCCCCGCTCTGTGCAGCACCATAAGAAGGGTGAAACACAACAGAATAGAACGGAAGAATAGAAAATCCTTTTATTGTCCTGCAGGGGCAAAAAATAAACAAACAGAAATAAAATGCTGCACACTGAGCAAAAACAATACGTAGGCAAGAAATAGTCTAAAGATTCTGTCAGGGGCGGCAGTGGCTCAGGAGGTAGAGCGGATTGTCCTGCAATCATAAGGTTGCAGGTTCGATCCCGGCCCCCACCAGAGAATGCTGCTGTTGTGTCCTTGGACAAAGCACTTAACCCACCTTGCCTGCTGGTGGTGATCCGAGGGACCGGTGTCGCCAGTGCTCGGCAGCCTCGCCTCTGTCAGCGCCCCAGGACAGCTGTGGCTACATCTTAGCTCATCCCCACCAGTGTGTGAATGGGTGGGTAACTAATTGTGCTGTGAAGCACCTTGGGGGTTGTAGAACCCTAAGAAGGCGCTATACAATCACAGGCAGTTTAGTTGACTTTCCAACATTTTAAAAATAAGTGTAAAAACACTAGCATGAGATGTGAGATGTGCTTGAGTGTAAATAGACGGAACAAATGAAAGAACGTCGCCTTTTTCACACAAAGAAACCTCCAGCTACCAGGTCCGAGGGTCCATCACATACACAACTCTCCCACTTTCTTCTCATCTTTGTTGAAAAATCTGCTTTAAATGAAACCAAAGAGCCAACCTCCATGCCTGATCTCCTTCAGCTTTAAAGGAGCAACACAATCTAGCATCCACCAAGATCAGCACGATCATCCGTTTGTGAGGATGCTCATTTTAGGCAGCATTCTTTTGTCACATTCCCCCACAGGACTGAAATCTGATACTAATTATGGAGTAGGATCATCTTTAAAGATGTTACCAAATTCCCTGATAATAAACGTCTACCGTGTTGGAAAGGATTTCAAAAACGACGTGAAGTCGCTCAAAGTGGACTCAAATGTCAGTCAAAGGCAGGATTGTGAGAAATAATACGTTTTTACTCTCAAAGCCTCAAGTGGGAAATCAAGTGTGAGGGGAGTAACTCTGACCCTAAACCCGACAACAGCAGGCCCAGAACAGACAAATAATAGGGCAAAATGTAGAGTGCAGAAAGAGACAGCTGAGCCAGAAGGTGAAGCTCTTGATTTACCCGTTGATCTACGTTCCTACCCTCACCTATGGTCGTGAGATTTGGGTAGGGACCGAAAGAACGAGATCGCGGATACAAGCGGCCGAAATGAGTTTTCTCCGCAGGGTGGCTGGGCTCTCCCTTAGAGATAGGGTGAGAAACTCGGTCATCCGGGAGGGGCTCGGAGTAGACCCGCTGCTCCTCCACATCGAGAGGAGCTAGTTGAGGTGGCTCGGGCATCTGGACAGGATGCCTCCTGGACACCTCCCTGGTGAGGTTTTCCAGGCACGTCCAACCGGAAGGAGAAAGACCCAGGACACGCTGGAGAGACTGTGTCTCTCATCTGGCCAGGGAACGCCTTGGGATTCCCCCGGAAAAGCTGGTTCAAGTGGCTGGGGTGAGGGAAGTCTGGGCGCCTCGACTTAGGCTGCCGCCACCGCGACCCGACTCTGGATAGGTGGATGAAAAAGGATGGATATGGATGGATGGAATGTAGGGTACAACAACAGAGCAACCAAAGGCAAAGAAACAGACAACAGACTGACAACAAGTCAACACGCAAACACATTCCAACAGAAGACACTGTTACCTGGAATCAAAGATCCGCAGAATCAGAAGATGCCCCAGGTGAAGGCTTCACTTGTGAACATTATAACAACCACAGCCTAGGTTCATGATGAAGATCCACGTCTAAGAGGTGAGCAGAGCGAGGTCATAGTGACAGAATGTAGATTACACAACCAGAACCAGCAGAAAAACATTATCACCAATAAAAGGTTTGGCTGGAATGTGCAGCTTTTTAGGTGCATTTTGATTATTGAGGTAAATCCAAACAACACCTGTAATAAAACGGATGAATTCAGGTGCAGATGGTTCTGGTTCTGACTCTGCTGCCCCCTTGGTTCAGGTCGTGTTACTGTCTCCGGTAGCTCCCTGAGCGGTGCAGCTGTCAGTCACTTCCACCTCAGTGCATCCCTAACGCCTGCTGGAGAGACCGTCCACTCTCTGCAGCAAACCATCACAGACACGAACGGCTGATCCTGAGTCAGCTCCTGGTGAGACACTAATAAATATTCCGTTTAGAAACTCACATCACACAGACTTTCTGAGATTTAAGTTGTGATTAATTAGAAACGGGACCATATTGTTGAGCCCCTAGGGCAGACTCCTACAGTATGGAGAAGCTACGCCAGAGGAGAGGGGGGAGGGGTGACACATTCAGCCACTGTCGAGGATATTTTGTAGAGGAGCGGGGGCAGGGATTATGCATCCTAATCACACTACGTCAGATTATGTCTGACCAAAACAGACTCCATTACAGGAGATTAAAAACTCTTTCCAAATAGTTTTGTTGGGTGAAAACAATCAACTTTGAGATTAAGGGCTGAGCTTCAGGCGTCAAATGGCCCTCGGAAGTAAAAACGCTGGGACTGAAAATCCCCTCAGATCAATTTGTGTCAATATGTTTGAGATAATGAAACATAATGGGCTTTTATTTGGTAATAACTGGAAAAAATGAAATTAAAGCAGAGGGAGGGGCGGCGTGATGGGGTGCATGGTTGTACGGCAGACAGAAAAGAGAAGAGGATTAAAAGTTGGCTGAAACTTTTCTGGTTTTCTCCTCAAGGATGGAGAAGCAGCTGTGGTTTCCTGGCTGATCTACCTCAGTGGATTACGCCAAAGGAGTGGAGGAGAGACGTGACATTTTGAACAGGACCAGAGTGGAGCTGGGATTTCTGACTACAGGAGATGAGCTCATTTCCTTCAAAAGTAGGAAAAACATTCTGAACTGACCTTTAATATGAAAACAAACCATCATTCTCCAAATCACGTCGCAAAGCCCGATCCCTCAGTTTTTTATACTGTTCTCGTCGTCGTCTTCCTCCGCTTATCCGGGTCTGGGTTGCGGGGGCAGCATCCCAACTAGGGAGCTCCAGACCGTCCTCACCCCGGCCACCTCCACCAGCTCCTCTGGCAGGACCCCAAGGCGTTCCCGGACCAGATTGGAGATGTAACCTCTCCAACGTGTCCTGGGTCGACCCGGGGGCCTCCTGCCAGCAGGACATGCCCGAAACACCTCCCCAGGGAGGCGTCCAGGAAGCATCCTGACCAGATGCCCAAACCACCTCAACTGGCTCCTTTCGATCCGGAGGAGCAGCGGTTCTACTCCGAGTCCCTCCCGAATGTCCGAGCTCCTCACCCTATCTCTAAGGCTGAGCCCGGCCACCCTACGGAGGAAACTCATTTCGGCCGCTTGTATCCGCGATCTCGTTCTTTCGGTCATTACCCAAAGCTCATGACCATAAGTGAGGATTGGGACGTAGATGGACCGGTAAATCGAGAGCCTGGCTTTCTGGCTCAGCTCCCTCTTCCCCACGACAGATCGGCTCAGCGTCCGCATCACTGCAGACGCCGAACCAATCCGCCTGTCGATCTCCCGATCCCTCCTACCCTCACTCGTGAAGAAGACCCCGAGATACTTAAACTCCTCCACTTGAGGTAAGACCTCTCCCCCGACCCGGAGTTGGCAAGCCACCCTTTTCCGGTCGAGAATTTATACTGTTCTGTAATTTAAATTCTTTAAATATTTCAGTTATTTCTGAACAAAATTCTAAACAATACATTTTATTGTCTAAATCTAAAACAAGTCAAAACTGGCTTCATGCCTGCTCGTTGTTGCAGAATTTCCCCGTAATCTGGAGACCGTTCTGTCCCTGGTTAGGTCTTCAATGGAAAAGAGACCCAAGTCAAAGGAAGCAGCTCAGAGACCTCCATGGGGGATGTAAACAAAAATATGTGACCTCAGCTGTAGATGGAAACAACAATCCTGAATGGGAAGCTCCTGCAGGCTCAGACAAAACAGGAGACAGGAGGCCACTGCCATGTGGGCCCTCCATCTGCAGGGAGAGGAGTCAGGGTCAGGCGAGGGCAGGGGCTTATCATGCCGGTGTCGGTACAGGATCTGCTCGGGGTTCTTCGACTGCCGATGACGTCAAAGTACGGCAAACCCACTCGGACAAAATACACTACACATCTATACTGTTGGAAATAATTTAGCAGTTTCGTTATTAAAATAATGTTTCTTAAGACGTAAGTTTGTGTTTATAATGGTATTTGTAAAATAAAACACTATATCGTATTCATAATGTTGAACTCCTCTTTGAGCACATCCCTTGAAGGATCATAGGTATTAGCAACACCTGTGAAATTGTATTTGCAGGAAAGAAGTGTGTCCCGTTTATTGAAGTATTTTGTGTTTAGAGTTTTTGACGTCTTGTCCATGCGTAGTTCAGTTACGCTCATAGCTGCTAGCCAAAACTCTGGAGTTAAAAGTTTTCTGGCTTTACTAAAATACCTGTCTGTACTTATTTGATTGATGGTAGTTTTACTTTCTATTAGACTCCAAATGTAATCATTTGGCATGTTTCTAATTCATAATTTGTAAGAATGTAATCGGTGATATTAGCATTAGCATTCCTATGGGTTTTTCCACGTATATTAGCATTGCGCTAACCACCCGCTGCAAAATTGCAGCTTTTGCGATTAGAAAATCTCCTTTTGTCACATCGCAATTTAATTGCACGTGCAGTTAATCGTTCCGCCCTAATATACATGCAGCTCTATGCTAAAAGTGTATTTTCAAGAGGTAATGATGGATTTCTTTGTAAAAGTTGTCCATCTTTCCAACAGAAAGATTTGCCTGGACCATCGTAACGTGATAACAACGTAACGTGATTACGTAATTCCGTAAGGTTCATGTTATATGTTCAATGTGTCCCAGGGGTCTAAAAAACTGTAATATACCTTTGGTCTTTTTGCAAGGCAAGCGTAGAGCTGCCACCCACGCAAAATAAAATTACAGCGACATCTCGTCATAACATAACTTTACAATTTCAGCAATATAACTTTCACCTTTGTACAACATAATATCACATTCTTACTATATAAATATTTTATTTTACAAATGAGATAATGAAATTGTTCAAAAAACAAAGTAAAGATGTTGTAAGGTGATTTTGCTCCTTTTTACTTTGCGTGGGCGGTGGCTCTACGCTTCCGTATTTTTGGTGGCTGTGTACATGTGAAAGGGACTTTATAAATAAAGATCGATTGGTTCCTGAGGATGAGGCAGAATCATTTACTAAATATTACCAAGAACTCTACATGAGTAGATCCCGAAGACTGATCTAATCGGTTTCTGATTGACTTTATTTATGTGACTCCAGCTGGCTTTTCATTTCCTTCACATATTAACTCTGTGAGGAACTGACTCAAGCCCCCTTTACTGTCATAATATATATTACATTAGTCAGACCAATCAGAAAGTTCAGACACTTCCGTTTTTCCACCGGGTGATGACCTAGTTACGGATGAGTCAGAATGCTTTCTTTTTCTCTTGTTTTGCTTGTTTTCTTTATTTTATTTTATTGATTTAATAAAATGATTTCCTTTACATACAAAGCTGCTAAATACCCTGACTCTTTGTAGGAAAATGAAGAAGACTTTTACTGACCTTGCTTGTTTCAGGTGTAAGCTGGGGCTCTGTGGACATTCGGATCTGCATCAAGAGTGAATTTCTGTTCCACTTGATGTGCCCCGAGATTCATTTTACTGAGGGTGGTTCATTCAGCTCATTAGTTCTGAATTCCTATAACTGGGTCTCTAAATGTGTGGGCCCCAAATCTGGGTTGGCCCCCGCTGACAGGGCATATGGGCTTCTTTGTGGGCAGGAAGAGAGTGTGTGTGCAGGGTCCACCAATCACTGCCCCTGCCTATGGAGTTAAACAAATTGATTGGCAGGCAAATAAAGTCCAGTTCCAGGCAAAGCTGCTGCAGTATGAGAACACAGAGCTATGAGGAGAACGTCCCCGCGGCATGCCCAGAGGAATTAGAGCAACCCTAAACCCAAGTTTATTCTTTAAATTCCTAAAAACAAACCACTGATGTTTACATTTAATTTTCATTTAATGCAGCGGATTTGCAAGAAGAGCTGCTGTAAACCAGCTAGATATGATTAGTTATCTGACATGAGCATTTTTTTATCTGGATGGCTAAACAACAGTTATAAAAACTACAGAACAAAACACTAAAAGACGAGACCAAACAGCAAGTGTTCATATCAGCGTGTGTGGAAACACGGCACCTGTTGCTGTCCATCAGTCTGGTAGAGGTCAAAGGTCAAAGGAACAAATAAAGCAGCAGTTCAGCTAGCATGTAAAACCTCAAAAATTAGTTAAATCCATCCTTTTATTTGCCTCTAATCTGAATTGATGTCAGAATTAGTTGATACTCTCTGCAGGAGCATCGGTAAAAACACCGTTCTGCAGTTCTACAGCAGCACTTTGGATGATGGAAGCATGTTTGGCTACCTTCAGCATCACATTCAAAAGGAATTAAAGCAGCTTCTGCTGCTGAACATAGATGTGAAAACTGACTTTAGAACCAAAAACCAAACATTTGATGTCAGCAGGTCTCCAGAAAAAACAAATATCTCTAGGAAAAGCTGCAGAACAAACGCCAGTCACGACAGCATACAGCTCAGCACTACACCAAGATCCATTAAACTACAAAAATAACTCCATTAGGATCTGTTAAACTACAAAAATAACGCCAACAAGATCAGTTAAACAACAAAAATAACTCCAACAAGATCCATAAAACTACAAAAATAACTCCAACAAGATCCATAAAACTACAAAAATAACTCCAACAAGATCTGTTAAACTACAAAAATAACTCCAACAAGATCTGTTAAACAACAAAAATAACTCCAACAAGATCAGTTAAACAACAAAAATAACTCCAACAAGATCCATAAAACTACAAAAATAACTCAACAAGATCATTTAAACAACAAAAATAACTCCAACAAGATCCATAAAACTACAAAAATAACTCCAACAAGATCAGTTAAACAACAAAAATAACTCCAACAAGATCAGTTAAACAACAAAAATAACTCCAACAAGATCAGTTAAACAACAAAAATAACTCCAACAAGATCCATAAAACTACAAAAATAATTCCAACAAGATCTGTTAAACTACAAAAATAACTCCAACAAGATCTGTTAAACAACAAAAATAACTCCAACAAGATCATTTAAACAACAAAAATAACTCCAACAAGATCCATAAAACTACAAAAATAACTCCAACAAGATCAGTTAAACAACAAAAATAACTCCAACAAGATCAGTTAAACAACAAAAATAACTCCAACAAGATCAGTTAAACAACAAAAATAACTCCAACAAGATCCATAAAACTACAAAAATAATTCCAACAAGATCTGTTAAACTACAAAAATAACTCCAACAAGATCTGTTAAACAACAAAAAT